TTTTTAGGTTCACGCGTTGCCCTCCATCCCCAAACAAGGGCTCCCCAGGCCCCGCAGGCAGGAGCTTAGAGAAACAATGTGCACAAGGGCCCAGAAAGCACGTGGCAGGTGATCTGAAGACAGCTTGTTGCCACTGACCTTTCCTCTGAAATTGATGTCAGCCACGAAGCAGTCAAATATTGTGTTTCAAGGTGGCTCACAGGTGACGGGAGCCTCTCTCCAGCCCTAGCACACAGCAGGTAATCCTGGAAAAGAAGGAGGAGGGACACCGTGCGGTTACATTCATCAGCTATTTTTGGTTGAGGAATAAACAAAATGGCCCAAACTGCTGCTGTTACAGATTCTAGCAGGGGAGTGGCGTGTAGAAAAGATTAATGTACAATTAAAACCCATGTACGGGTAAATTACAGGGTGACAGCTATCTAATGCAAACACCGCGACGTGTAATTAAGAGGAGTTACAGGCTCTCGAGGAGGAATTTGCCGAGGGAAGTGCTGTCTGGGGAAACCAAGAGCAGGAGCAGGACTCCGGGACAGTGTGCGAGGTGGAAGTGGTATGGAAGTCCCCTAGTATCGAGGGGACGCTGGAGGGGGCTGTGTAACGGGAGCCACTGCTTCTTCTGGTGGCCCCGTGATGGGAATCAGGCTCAGCCCGCCTCTGCAGGTCAGCTGGTTCTTGTGCTAAGCATCCAGCCCATTTTGGAGCTGCCCTGGTCTCCCCGCCTCACCTTTGGCTGTATGGTAGTAAGAACCCTTGAATGCCTTTTTTTTTTTGGTACTGTTTTTAATTTCTCCTGCTTTGTCAGCTTTTTAAGGAATATGTTACATTATGTGGAAATTGGATGCTAACAAGATTTGTATGAATAAATTAGACTCTTAACTTTTTATGTTATTACAAAATTGAAATAGACTCTAATGACAGTCAGAATTAATGTTCTGTTTCAAATAAGTGCCGGGGATGTGACTGAATTTTCAGTGTGCTCCTCTCTAGTCCTCCCTTGCTGAAAAAGCCACCTCTGGCTGTCTTCTGGTCCAGTGAGGTGGCCCTCTTGTGGCTCTCTTGGGCTCCTGTCAAACCCTGTGACTGCAGGGTGCTTCCCTGCTGACCCCTGTGGCGATGGTCATGGTGCTGCTCTGCCCGGACTCTCTCACGTCAAGGCTCGCCAAGCTTGCTGGGAATATCTGTCACAGATGCTCCAGGGCTGACTCCCAGTAAGAATTGCCCTGAGCCTCGGGAAGCTCCTTGCCTCAGGCCACACACTATCCTGCAGTCAGTTGTTACCAGAGTTTCAGGGTGAAAGCCCCAGCTCTGGCAGACCCACCTGACCAGGCCTGGGCACCAATCCCAGAACACCAGTCATGGAGATAGATGAGCAGTGATGCAAGGCAGGAAAGGAACTTTTAATGTTCAAGATTTTCTCCAGGGGCTGACAGAAACTTTGGGGTTTTATAGAAAAGGGGAACAAAGGGAAGGGTTGGGGGGTTGCATAGCTGGCATCTTAGGGGATCTTGAAGAAGTCAAGGTATAGTTGATCAACTCTTTTGACAATTTCTTTGGTGTTCTGAGAGCCAATATCCACTGAGGGGGCAATTTGGTTCCCATCATGCAATGACAGGTTCTGCTGGGGAGGCAGCCACAGTTCTTGTCATGGGGTAACTGGGGAGTGTTATGGTTTGTATCTGGACGTCCCCCCCAAAGTCTCACGCAGTCATGGGTGTGGGCTTTTAGAGTTTATGATTGATCCTTAATCCAATGCTAGGATTATGGGTGTGAGCTACACCTAGCCCTGGGGCAGGTAGTTTGCATATGTAAGGGAGAGGAAGAGGCTGCTTGCCACCGATCCTCCCTTTTGCTCTTGTTGCTTTGCTGTTCCACGGCTGTGAACAGTTGCTGGATGCCATATGCCACTCTCCCTTGGAGCCAACTGAGTATGGACTGAAATCTCCACAAACTGTAAGCTAAATAAACCTTTCCTTCCTTCATTTTGGGTGTCAGGTATTTTGTCTCAGCAACAAGAGAAAAGTAACCAAGACAGGGAGCGACCTCGTCATGGGGAGGTCTGCGAGGCTGTGCTTCTCCTGGAGTTCAAGGTGGCTGCAGCTTTAGGATAGTCACACAGAATGTCCAGGCCTGCAGAATGTCCAGAGGGTCTGGAACTGGGTGTTTTAAAAGCTGGCAATTAGATGTCCCTGCAGAATTACCTTCGTTACCCTTGACTTGTATCCTCAGCCTTGAAGGAGGATGAGACAGGTTAGGTAACTTTAGGGCTACTAGACCTTATAACACAGACGCTGCCTGAGTGGTTAGCACCCCCATGTGCACAGCTGAGCAGGTACTATGGGAGACAAAGTGAAGAGATACCAAGCTTTACCTTGCTTTTAGTTACCACTAGATATCTAGAAGCCTAGCCTTGAAGTCCAGTGACTGGCTCATGACAGGGTACAAAGGTCCAGCCTCCTTGATTCCTTTTGGGACAGCTCTGAAGGTCCCTCTCAGGCAGAGAACTCTGTGGGCCCAGCTGTGAGGCAGTGGGCTCAGCCTCTCACTCTGCCCATTCCTACCTTTTTATTTCTGCACCTCTAACTGGTGACCATCTCTCTCTCTTTTTTTTTTTTTTTGGTTGCAGTACCGGGGGTCGAACTCGTGACCTTGCGCTTGCCAAGCAGGCGCTTATGCCGCTGAGCTATATCCCCAGTCCCTGGTGACCATCTCTACGTTAAAGTTTTCAGGGAACTCAGTCCAAGCTCCTGGCTCCCAGGGGTTTCTCCTTTGCTAAACCAGTTGTCTGCCGGCCGAGTCCTGACTATTGCTCGGCCCCAGTCCAGGTCCCCCTGGGCAGGGTTTGAGTAGTAACAGAGGAAAAGGCTTCCCTGGACCTAAGCTGTCACCTCAGCCTGGGATGGACCAGGTCCCATGGCTCTGAAGAAAGGGTTTGGGGAGTGAGACAGGGATTTTCTGCAAAGGAATCCTCCATGACTCAAAGGGGCAGGGCAGGGCAGGACAGGGGTTTGGGCAGTGCAGGGTGGAAACTCCGCTATCTCAGGGGCCAGGCTTTAGGGGAAGTGATGCTGGTGGCTGGGATCCTTGGGCTACCTATCCCTTTGGGAATTGGCATTAAGACTCAGTTCAGGGTCAGGGGTAAGGCTCAGTGGCACAGCGCCTGCCTGGCAAGCTTGAGGTCATGAGTATTCACATATTCAAGAACAGGTAGATTTTTTATGTGACTCTTATCCCCTCTAAAGTTTGGAGAGTATTTCCTAGATTTTAAAATCACAGCCCTGCACGGACCAAACCATATGCCTGTGGATTGCATTTGGCTTTTGCATTTGAGGCATTTGGAGTCCCAAAGCCTTACCTTTTGGCAAGGTAGATAATTCCCTGCCTGGAGGTGAGGGCCTGGTACATAGTGCCCAGCTAATGCCCTGGGAAGGGACCATAATAACCAACACCACAGACCACGGCTGCAGAGCCGCTGAGCTCAGCACTGACCAACTGTGGCCTCTATCCTAAAAGGTCCCCATTTGCTGGAAAGAGTGTTGAAGTCCTTGCCTCTGGGATATCAAGTCTGTGAGGCTCTGGCTGGACCACTCCTCTTGGAGCTCTGTGGATGAGTGGGTACCAGAGGGGCCTGCTGGAGACCCTGCTGCACTTCTGAGGTCCCCCCTCAGCATTCTGGCTCCCCCTTTGCCAGTCTCAGAAATTCCCTGTAGAAATGCCTTCCCAAGAGCAAAAAGAGCAGCATTAAAACCTCATCCAGCACATCCTTCTGTATCCTGTGTTCTCATAAATTGTTACAAAAAGAGGGTCTCTTATATCACTTTATATTTATAAACTCATAAGTCACATTCATTTTATAAAAATGCAATAATCTTTATGCCTACTGCGCATAACCTGTTTAATCACTTTATATATCATGAACACCTTTCCCTGGTAATGGATCTATTTCTATTCTGCTTTTGACACCAGCACTGCATTCCTTCACATGAATTTATCATAATTTATATAACCAGTTCCCTGTTGGACATTTTGGTGGTTTTCTCTTCTTTATTTTTTTTGTTTTTCAATTCTGAAGAATGTTGAAGTGCATATTCTTGCTGTATACCGTTGTGTCATTGCGGGATAAATTCCTAGAAATGGAAGTTTTGCCTCGAAGGGTCCACGTGATTTTAAGACTTTTAATACTTCCAGACAAATTACCTTCCGGAAAGGCCCAGCGGTGCGTGAGCGTGCCCATTTCTTCTCATACATACGCCAGCCCTGGGAGTCTCTGCTTTTTAAAAAATCTTCGTCAATTTGATAGGTTAAAGAGGAGTGTGATTATCCCTTTTTTAAAGCATAACTTGTATTTGCTGCCAAGGTAATGTTTGTTTGTAGTTAAAAGGGCATACATAACAAAACGCTTAAAACAAACTCAGCAGTCCTGCCCCATCCCTCCCCACCGTTTACTTCCTCCCTGCTCCCCAGGGGCAGCCACCTGTGACTCTTGCAGCTAGTTCCCAGGATGTATTACGACCTCCATATTTCTAAATAATGTGCACAGGCTGCAGGTGTAAAATGGCCAGACAGTCGTGCTAGCACCATTTTTTCAACATTCACTCTCTGCTTACTAGTTTTTAAATGCCAACTTTATCACTGGGTTAATTCTTATATTTACTTGGGATGCTTCTGGATTCTTCTGTTCTAGTCTATCTATTCTAGTGCCAGAACCTGCTATTTTAATTATTGTAGCTTATGAACACATTTTTAATATCTTCGAGGGCAAGCCTCCTCTTGTTATGATTCTTGTGTGATATTACATTTTAATTCTTTTAGGTGCCCTTTGGATATATGAGGCCAAGTTTCAAATAATATCCAGTAGAGCTTTGTATTGGGATTGTGCTTCATTTATAGAGGAATCTGAGATAAATTTACACATAAATGGGCTTCTTTGCTCTATTTGTTATGTGTTACTATGTTGAGCTTCTGATCAGATAGTTATGAAGGACGTATTCACTCCCCAGGTACCATTCTAGGCACTGAAGGATACATCAAGAAACAAAGCTGAGGGAGACCCAGCCTCTGAGACAACATCCTAGCAGGGGAAGCAGGTAATGAGCACTACATGTAGATTTAGTGAGTTAAGTATATAACATCAGAGCATGGTAGTAAGTGTGGAAATTAGAAATGGGGGGAGGGGAGGACACATCAAAGCACTAAGTGGGGTGGTGGTATGTTTTGGATGTTATTTGTGTGAGCCCCTTGGGGTTCATGTTTTGGAACCTATGTCCCTGAAGTGGCAATGTGACAGTTGGTCGAACCTTTAAGGTCATTAGGGATTCTGCCCTCAGAAGATATTGATGTGGTTTTGTAGAACCTGGTTAAGTTCCTGAGAAAGCAAATTGTTATAAAAGGACCAAATCTGTCCCCTGACTCTTTCTGGCTTCTTGTCTCTGCATGTAACTGCTCTCTCTTTTTCATTCATGCTCCCACTGTAACGTCACCCACCAGGAGAGCTCTCACCAAACAGATAGGGATGCTCAATCTTGGACTTTTAGCTTCCAAAATGGTGAGCTAACAAAACCTCATTTCTTTGTAAAGTATCTAGTCTCAGGTATTTTGTTACAACAACAGAAAATAGATTAATGCAGGTGTTTACGGGGGCCTCACCAAGAAAGTAATACTTGAGCCAAAGTGATATGAGATGTGGGGGATGTGAGAACGTGGGCTATACAGATGCTCTAAGCCAATAGTTCTCACTCTGGGATGACTGTGCCCCTAAGTGGGGATTTGGCAACATCTGGAGATGTTTTTTGATTGTCATGACGAGGAGGTGTTCTTGGCATTTCCTAGGTAGAGACCAGGGATGCTCTTAAACATCCTGCAATGTCAGAACAGCCTGCACAAGAAAGGAGTGTCCAGCCCCAAGCGTTGATCATGTCAGAGTTGAGAAAGCCCGGTCTAGGTAAGGATAGCTCTGGGCAGAAGGAGCGCCAACAGAAAGATTTGTAAGTCAGAATTAGGAAGGGTGGAGAAGCAAAGTTGGAGCGTGTGAGCAGCTGGAGAAGAGGTCAGGGGGTATCTTGGTTAGTTTTCTCTCATTGCTGAAACAAAATACCAGATGCCCAGAATTAAGGAAGAATGGTTTATTTAGCTTACAGTTTGTGGAGGTTTCAGTCTATAATCAGCTGGTTCCAAGGCAGGGTGGCATGGTACAGGGGCAACACTTCAAGGTGGTACAAGACAGCAAAAGCAGCAAGAACAAAAAAAGGGTGGAGCAAGCCTTTTTTCTTCCCTTATATTGTAAGCAGGCTGCCCCCACCCAGGGGTTGTGTAGCACTCATGTAATCTCCATGCCTCCTCTTGCACAGACTCAGGGTGAATACAAAGTGAGGACCCTGGCCCCCTGCTGGGTCACTTAGTTAACATTCTAAACTTCTCAAATTGACACAATGAGCAACATCCCAGAGCGGTAAGGGCATGTCCTTTTCACCCCAGGATGTAGAACTGCTGAGTCACTTAGCCAAGTCTCTAGACTCTTCAAGTTGACACAATATCGGGGCTGGGGATTTAGCTCAGCGGCTCAGCGCCTGCCTGGCAAGCGCAAGGTCCTGAGTTTGATTCCCGGTACCTGAGAAAAACCAAAAAAAAAAAAAAAAAAAGACACAATGTATCGTGGGGGTGGGGGTGGAGTCATGGGGGGTTGTGAGAGGACAGATTTTGGCCTCGTGGGGCAGGATAAAGAATTTGACTTTATTCCAAGTGAGGTGGAGAGCAACAGGGTTCTGAACAGAAATGCCATGATTAAAACTATGTTTTGAGAGGTCCACTGTGCTTCCATGTTGAAGGGCTGAGAAGATTAAACTTGATTGTCAATATGATTGGATTTAGAAATATATAGAAAATTAGCAAAGTACACTTCTTTGTGTGTCTGTGAGGGTGTTTCCAGAGACAATTAGCATATGGGACAGCAAATTGGGTGGGGAAACCCACCTTGAATGTGGGTAGCACTACCCAATAGGCTTGCAGCCCAGACTGAGCAAAGCAGAAGAAGGAGGAGGAAGTCCACCAGGGTAGACTCTCCCAGCCTGCTTCCTGGTTGCCATAGGGTGAGCAGCTCTCCTCTGCTGTGCTCTCTTTGCCATGATATTCCGTCTCGCTACAGGCTTGTAGCAATGGAGCCAGCCAACCATGAACTGAAACCTGTGAAACTGTGAATCAAAACAAACTTCTTCTTTAAGTTGATTTGCTCAGGACTTTTTTACAGTGGCAGAAAGCTGACTAACACAGAGACCAAGAGGCCTGGCCACCTACCACAGTGAGAGATGATAGTCTGAGGCAGTGTGGTGACAGTGGAGGGAGAGAATTAGGCTGAACTCCAAATCTAGTTGAAGGCAAAACCAACAAGATTTCCTGATGGATTAAATGTGGTATAAGGAAAAGAAAGCTTGTGGTGCATCTAGAAGGATGGAATTACCCACACCTGAGATGCAAAGGACAGCTGGTGAAGAGCTGCTGGAGGGCCTTAAGTTTGAAGTTCAGTTGAGGATATCCAGTATCTGAGACGTCCAGTACACAGCCATCTGCAGATGCTGGAATCTGGTTGGGTATGTAAGTTTGGGGTTATGGAGAGGGGGTAAAGCTAGAGGTGCAAATTTGGAAGTCATCAACACAGGGATGGCTTTTAAAGCCATGAGATCGATTGAAGTCAGCAAAGAAGTGCATTAGCTTTCCATTGTTAGGACAAAATATCTGACATACACACCTTAAAGGAGGAAGGATTTATTTTGGCTCCTGGTTTCATGGTTGAGTCCATGGTTAGGTGGTTTGAAGGCAGAAGCGTTATGGCAGAGAAAAGATGCTCCCCTCATGGTGGCTGGAGGCAGAGAGCAGGTGGAGAACCAAAGAGGAGAAGGGGGAGGGGGTTGTGGATGGAGTATTCACCTCAAAGGCACATCCCAATGAGACACATCCTCCAACCAGGCTTTACCTCCTAATAGCCCATTTAGGTGGGAAATTCTTCAGTGGACTGTTCCACTGATGGGATTAGCACCCTCAATGCAAGAGTCTTTGGAGACATTTCATATTTAAACCATAACAGGGAGAGAAGGCTGATAGGGAAGAACAGTGGACCAGTGATGGAGAACTAGAGTATTCAAACATGAAGAAAACAGCAAGGAGGGACCAAAAAAGGGGCCAGGAAGTGCCCAGTAAGGTTAAAAGAAACCAGAACAGAATCTCATGCTGGAGGCCAGGGAAGAAAGTGCATTATGGAAGAGGGCGTGGTCACCTTTGTCAGATGCTGGCGGCAGGTCAAGTAAGACAGGGACCAAGGATTGACCAATGAGTTCAGTAGGGTGCTTTAGGAAAGGGCAGGTTTGGTGTAGTGGTGGAATAAAGGACCAATTTAAGTATTCTGTGAGAGAATGAAAGGAAATCAAGGAAATTGGAGATGGTGGATGTGGGTAACTCAATGTGTACAAAGGAGAGCAAAGAAATGAAGTGATGAGTGCTGAGCGAAGCAGTTGGAAATTTGTTTAAGATGGGAGAAATCATAGCCTATGTGTGTATTGAGAGTGGTCTAGCTGAATGTGCAAAAGTGAAGTAGGAGGGGGAAAATTACTCAACCAAGTGCTTAAGAAGGTTAGAGAGCATTGGAGCTGGTGGAAGTGGAGGGAGCAACCAACCTTTGATAAATGTGGGAAGGAGAAATCATGGGCACAAATGTGGTGATTGGAACCTGCCTCCTCCAACCCCACCATCTTTGTTGTGATATAAACACCTACCACACCATTCATCCATTTAAAATGTACCTTCAGGTATGTTCACAGCGTTGTACAGCTTTCACCACAGTCCATCCTGGAACACTCTCCTCACTTCAGAGAGACCTTATACGTATTAACAATCTCTCCCCTTTCCTGCCTGCTCAATCTTAAGCAACCACTAACCTATTTTCTGTCTCTATAAGTTGTCCTTTTCTGGACATTTCCTATAAACTAAATCATTCAGCCAGGCAGGGTGGCACATGCCTGTAATCCAAGCACTTGGGAGGCTGACGCAGGAGGATTGCTGTGACTTTAAGGCCATCCTGAACTCCATAGTGAGACCCTGTTTAAAGAAAAACAAAATTAATTATTTAAATCATACAATGTATGGTCTTTTTTTTCCATTTAGCATAATGGTTTCAAACTTCATCCATCTTGCTACTTTCTTCTTTATTATGACTGAATAATATTCTGTTTTCTGCATATACCACAGATATACTGTATCCATTCATTTGCTAGTGAATATTTGGACTGTTTTCCCCTTTTGGCTATTATTAACAAAACTTCTCCATATGCATTTATCTTTATTTATAGCTATTTTATGAATATACATTTTTGTTTCTTTTGGTATACACTTAGCAGTGGAAATTGCTGGGTTATTTGGTATATCTATGCTTAACCTTTTGAGGAATTACCAAACTTTTCCAAAGTAGCTGCATTATTTTACATTCCTACCAGCAATGTATGAGAGTTCTAATTTCTCCACCTTCTTGCTAATACTTGGTAATGATATTATTGGCAATTGTTTTGATTGTAGTTGTCCTAGTTGGTGTGACATAGTACAGTATCTCATCATAGTTTTGATTTTTATTTCCCTAATGACTAATGGTATTAAGCATCTTATCACATGCATGGTGGCTATTTGTATATCTAGACATACAATTGGAGAATGTCTATTTACTGAATTTGCCTATAATCAGGTAGTTAAATTTTTAAATCATTTAGTTGTAAGAGTTGTTTATGTATTCTGGTTACAAATTCGTTATTAAATATGTGATTTGTAAATATTTTATACCGTTCTGTGATTTGTCTTATTCCCTCCCTCCTTTCTTCCTCCTTTTTTCTTTTTTTCTTTCTTTCTTTCTTTCTTTCTTTCTTTCTTTTTTTTTTTTGGTGATACTGGGGATGGAACCCAAGGCTCGCACATGCTAGGCAAGTACTGTACTTACCATTTTCTGCATGGTATCACTTTTAGCACAGAAGTCTTTTATTTTGTTCAAGTCCAATTTATCTATTTTTTTCTTTGGTTCCTTGTATTTTGGCTATTGTACCTAAAGAGGCCTTGC